CCTTATAGGCTTCTATTAAAATTTTATTTCTCCACAAGCCCTGAGAACCTACAAAGCTATGGTTTCTCACAAATGAGTTAAGATCCCCACCTCTCCACTACACAACAGATTTGCTTATTGATTGATTGATTCAGGAAACATTTCTTAAATATTTACATACTTGAGACATGGTGTTAGCTGCTCTGTAGTAATGATAACAATAATAGCTAACTTTGTAAGAGTATGCTGATCAAACTGTATATTATGAGGTCCTGGGCACTTGGATTTAAATTGTAGCTCAGCTATTTGGTACCTGGGTGAATGTGGACAGACTAATCGATCTCTCTATTTCAGTCTAGTCATCCCCAAATGGGGAGCTACTAGATTCCTGTTGCTACCATAACAGATTACCACGAGCTTAGTGGCTTAATGCGTTGCAAATTTATTATCTCACTGTACTGTGGGTGAGAAGTGTGTGGGCCTAACTGGTTTCTCTACTCTAAATCTCACAAGGCCAAAATCCAGGTGACAGTCTAGACTCCTGTATGACTGTTCTGGGGAGAATCTACTCCCAGACTCATTCATGTTGTTGGCAGAATTCAGTTCCATGCAGTTGTAAGACTGAAGTCTCTGTTTCTTTGCTGGTTTCTCAGTTTCTAGAGGCTGCTCATGTTCTCGAGTTTATGACCTCTTAATCTGCAAAGTTGGCAACAGGTCATTATACTATTAATATCTAATAGATTAGCAAGTTTTCATAAAACCTTTTGTGAGGTTTAATGAGGCAGAGGGAGGGGGGAAACTACTTTGATAAATCTGGCACCATGAGGCTAAATATTTTGGTTGTTTTAGTGGTTGACTTTCTCATGGCTCTGAGATATATCATGATAGAGATTAACATTTTGTCAGCTACTTTATTCTTTCCTTGAGGCTAAGATTATGAGTATAGTATAACTTCATGGTCATTGAAAAGTCCAGGCATGTGTCAAGATTTGAGTTAGGTGCCATCCTGTGATATATCTTGTGATATGGGAATAGCATTGCTGATTATAATTATAATTTTTTTTTTTTTAGTGAGAGCAAATATTTGTCACATAATTCAATGTTTGCTGCTTAACCTGGAACAAAAGTATTTATGGTACAGTTTTCAAGTGCTGAGTAGATTTCTCTGTATGCTGTGCATACTGTGCTAGTTGAATGTTTGCATTTTAGCTTGAGAAATGGGTCAAATGTAGCCAACAACGAATGAGAACTTTCAAGAAAACTTGAATAATTTGAAGTGGTACTTTTCACTAATGGAGAGAGAGAGTTTTTGTCCTAAGAAAAGATTGATGTCGAAGAAAATGATGACTATTTTAATTGTGAACCATTATTTCCATCTGCAAAGTTTTCTTAGAATTTTTGAACTTATGAATTATAACATATGATCCTAGTTTTATTCCAATTTAATTCTAAAAATGACTACAAGTTTAAAGCAGTTAACATATGTTAATACATCTGCAGAGGTGCATTTCACTTCTGTTTCTGAGGTCCGTCTATGGAATTTTATTGCTGGGTGTCCTTTCCCTGTGACCACTAAAGTAGCTTTTTCTTCTATTTAGATATTATCTGTAATCTAATTCCTACCTAACAGTAATATTCCATCCAACTCAGCAAATTCTGTAAATGGACTAAATTATTCCACGTTTTTAAAAAATATGTTTGAAGTATAGATGTACTATATTCCTATGTTAGTTCCTTATTGTGTGTCTTAAAAATGTGTATCATTCTTTAAAACAATGTCTTGAGCTCTTTTAATATGCAAGGCATGGAGAGTGTTTAAAAGATGGTCAAAACTCAACCACCAACTCTAAAAGAGCTTATATTTGCCAGTTTATAGATTTTTTTACTTTAGCTGCGGACATCAACTACATTTGAAGGAGACCTTCCTGACAAGCTTATTTATAATCTTAATCACTAGCCTTCACGCTGATCCAAGTACTCCCAATTCCCCTAGCCCTGTTACTATATTTATTGCCTAATGTCTCACCTGCTGGACGGTAGGTTCCATGAGGGTAGGGATTTTCCGTTTATTTTGTTTACAGATTTATCTTAAATGCTTGGGATGGTGCCTGGCACAGAGTAGTCACTCAATAAATGTTTTCAGAATGATTAAATGAATTAAACATCTTCCAACACAAGACAAATTTAAATTGCATTCTTAATCTGTCCCCATGTCTAACCATCCCGCCAGCATCAGCCTGATTCAGGCCCTGGGCCCTTTCCTTCTGGATGGTTACAGTAGCCTCTTAAATAATCTTGCTGCTTTCAGTTGTGCTCTACAGTCTAGACTCAGCAGAGCAGCCAGAGTGGTGACCCCCTCAAGGCAGATCATGTCTCCCCACAGCTCAAAACCCTCACACAGAAAACAAAACAAAACAAGAAAAGACCATAGCTTTTAGTCAAATTTAATCAGACAGTAATGATCTGTCCTTTTCCTCGTGTTGTCTCCCCATTTCATCTCCTGCTACTCTTCCCCACCCACCACCACGTAGCCCCAGCCCCAGGACCTCCACCTCCTGACCTTGTGATCTGCCCACCTCAGCCTCCCAAAGTGCTGGGATTACAGGCGTGAACCACCGCGCCCAGCTGCCATAAACAATTTTATGTTATTTTGCTAAACGTGAAACTCTAAATACATCTGTCTCCCTTCCCATTATTTGGCAATTTTATTTCCTGGAAAAATTGTTTATCGTATTTCAAAAGTTGGAAAATGATGAAAATGCTGCTGCTTTTTCAAAGATGTTATTGTCATAAATTCATAACTATTTTGAATCTTCATTTTATTTGACCTGGTGTCTTTACACATTGCCTGCCTTATGGTTTGAGGTTTCATTTCAGAGCCAGAAAGCCAGAGGCTGATTGTCAAGGCTGTTGTAATGCTGTTGCTTGTATCTTTAAATGCTGACAATCAGACCACAATTTTAAACAGAGAGTAAATACCCATGAAAACATTCATAGACTCACTTTGAATTAGTCACTATAAAAAAGAAGACAGAACATTTTCTCTTGGTTCATTATTTGTTTGTTTTTATAATATAAAGGCATGAGAAATGGGTATCTCCAATTAGTTCTTAATCCCTCGACCTTAATTATTTTAACATCTTGTGTATCTCTGCTATTTAAGGTCATAGTGCAGTGGAAAATAGTCATTATAAACAATACAACGTAGGTCACATAGATAGTAGGTAGCAGAACCAGGTTCCTCACCCCAGAAATGACTCGAGCCTTCATTCTGATCTTGTGCTCTGAAGCCTATCAACGTCAGTGTGTCTGATTCGCTATATGTTTTCACTTCCTGTGTGTAGCATTATGTTATCCAGGTGCTTTATAACACTGATGAATTGTCTGATTTTGTATCTCATTTCCTTCATTTTTCTGTTTCTTCTTCACTTAACTGGCTAAAGCTGAATTATGTAAGCAATACAACTGCGTATTAATTATAACTGAATTACATTTTTATTCTCTTAAATGTCTGTTAAAGTAATGGATTATAGTCATTCCTCTAAACTACTGTATTTGTTGTAAAATATTTTTATTTTCTTCTGAGAGAAAGCATTACATAAAGTCACAAAACTTAGCAATTTTACTGTATTTAAGTATTGGCAAAACAAATCTTTGAGACTTGAGAGAAACTTTTCATATGTATGCCTGTGAATTTTGATATATCATTAGACATTTTGGGGTGTATGCTGGGTTATTAGTCTTTTGTATGAGAAACATATATCAAATTCTGAACCATATGACATGTTAGATGTTGTTAAAGAAAAAGTTATTCTGGCCAGGTGCAGTGGGTCACATCTGTAATCCCAGCACTTTGGGAGGCCCCAGCCCGGCCAGCGTGGTGAAATGCTGTCTCTACTAAAAATACAAACATTAGCCGGGCATGGTGGTGCACACCTGTAATCAATCCCAGCTACTCAGGAGGCTGAGACAAGAGAATCGCTTGAACCCAGGAGGCAGAGGTTGCAGTGAGCTGAGATCGCACCACGGCCCTCCAGCCTGGGTGACAAGAGCGAGACTCCTTTAAAAAAAAAAAAAAAAAGACATTATTCATTCTGAAACTTGTTAAAGAACAGTAAGACAATCTTTATTCAGGACTATTACGATAGCTAGAGGGACTACTGCATTTGGGGTTTTGCAGTGGGGCAGAGAGATTGGTCTCAACTTGGAATACAAGGGAAAGTGGTAATTACATGACCATATAGCAGGGTTGGGATAGGCAGTAGTCAGTGGGTGGAAAATTACTAAGAGGAAAAACCTCAAGGGTCAGGAGAGATTATGGCTAAACAGACCTAACAAGTTTCTTGCTGAAGGCAGGCTAAGGTGATCAGACATCATTTGGAGGATGGTAGGAAATGAGTAATTTGGTCAGATATGGAGGGCTATCAGATACGAAGGGTGGAGATTTTGGCTGAAATGACTTAGCAGTATTCTTACTAAGAGTGGACTCTTCAGGATATGCCCAGAACAGGGCTTAGTTGAAAAAAAGCTCAGAGAAGTCTGACTAGAGATTGGTCAAGGAGATAATCTTTGTCAAGATTAAAAAGCTGTTTAAAAGTTTACTTCAGTTTTCTCTGTGTACAGTATCCTGATCACTAAGTTTAGCATCCCCCATGGTATCCCTTGAAGGTCTCTCATACCATATTTTATTCAAGAGAATTCTGGTTTTGACAAACTTGAAGACAAAAATCAAATGGAAGATTCCACTGTGGATCAAAAACCTAACCATTGTCTTAATTAGGGGATGAAAACATCAAATTGAAACACAAACCCGTTTTGTGCACTGAAAAAACCTTGTGGTTTTTTATATTTCTTGCTTAAGTTAGTAATTCTTTAACATAAAGTCAAATATGCAAGGCCTATCTCAGTCTCTCAAGAGTTTTTTTGTGAATAAAATGTTAGAATGTGTTACACCTACGTGCTTTTGTTGTTGTTACTGTGAAATATACCTGAGAACATTTTTATTCTTTTTTTTTTTCCAGATGGCAGAAAGGATATTCAGGAGAGTAGCTTAAGAGACTTAATAAAAGAGCTGCCAGACACCCACTACTGCCTCCTCAAGTACCTTTGCCAGTTCTTGACAAAAGTAGCCAAGCATCATGTGCAGAATCGCATGAATGTTCACAATCTCGCCACTGTATTTGGGCCAAATTGCTTTCAGTAAGTTAGTGGAGTTTTGCTGTTAATATCATCATGTCCCCCTTTGTGTTTACTACTGTCTGAAATTACTGGGATGTAGAAGCATATTTCAGTCTGAAAATTCAGCCAGCTTATGTTGGAGAAGTTGTATCTTGTTCTTGGGCATGTTAGCCCTGTTTTTCATCCCAATTTGAAGAAAGCAGCTATGCCCTTTTTATAAAACTATGATTTGCTATAAATCAAGTAGCCTTATTTTAAAATCTGGAAATAAGTTATATTTCAACTAAAAGGGGCATTTAAAAAATCTGTAATCAGAAATGTTGATTAGCAGAAAGAGAAGGAGTATGACATAGTGAATAATTTTTTAAATAGTAATAAAGTTCAAATTATTGCCAATAGATGGAAAATTTTGAACAGACTATGCCAGTATCACAAAAATATAACCTCAGCTTCATTTACTGGAAATAAACTAGTCTGTGTTAGTAGATTCTTTGTTGCTAGCCACAGGAACATTTGTAAAGCTTCATATTTTATTCTCCTTCTTATTCCATAAAGCTCTTTAATTTTTGATATGTGAAACATGATCCTGCAATCCAGGGACTTTGCTTTTAACTCTCCTGTTAATCACCTCTGATCAAATACATTCCTCCTAGTTATGAGAAGGGAGAGAGAGAACATTCACACTCTAAAAACACTCAGAAACTCAGCAACTTTTTTTTTTATAACATATCTACTTCTCCACTTCATTAATATACAGGCTTATTCAGCTGCCCAGAACTAGTAATATTACAGTCCTCAGAATGACTGTCTAAATATAGATTCTAGTTTAGATCCTAGTGACTACAGGGTTCCAGGTCATTCACAGCCTAATTTGGGTAGAAGTTCTACCTTAATAACTATCCTGATTGTAATTCTAAAGATGTTAACTTTTAAATAATGGCATTTCACAGGATATATTAGGGTGTTGTGAATAAATATCTCAGATGCAGGATCTACTAATTTTTGTCTTATTCAGAAGCTCCGTGATAGTAAAAAGTCTATATTTGTTCTTATATTTGTTCTGCCCACTAAACCTTTGTTTGGTGACTTACATGTGAGAAACGTGTAAGTAGAAAACCGTTGAATAATTCTGAAACCTAGATTCTAGAACAGATAAAAATGAATTTGTAAATAGAATGCTTATTTAAGTAAGCATTAAACACAGATCCATACCTCATTACTAACTTAGAAATTGGACTTGATCTGGAATTTCTGGTAATCTGCTCCAGTTAGTGAGTCACAATATTAATTAGTAATGAGTGTTTATTATAGGTTCTAATTAGTATGGTTTTACAGTTTTTCTATTGTTATAACATATACATAAAATAAAATATACCAATTTAACCTGTTTGGTTCTTTTTGATACAGAGTCTCGCTCTGTTACCCAGGCTAGAGTGCAGTGGTACGATCTTGGCTTACTGCAACCTCCACCCTCTGGCCTCGAGCAATCCTCTCACTTCAGCCTCCTGAGTAGCTGGGACTACAGGCACATGCCACCATGCCCGATTAGCTTTTATATTTTTTGTAGAGGCAGGGTTTCACCATGTCGCCTAGGCTGGTCTCGAACTGCTGGGCTCAAGCAGTCCACTTGCGACAACCTCCCTAAGTTCTGGGATTACAGGCATGAGCCACTGTGCCTGGCCAACTCAGGTTTTTAAACTAATGCTTAGCTAGTTTTAGTATTCTTGACAAATTCCATTTACCTAACAGATCAGTCATTTACCTAAAAGACCAGTCATTTAATGTAGCCATGTAGCTTTTTTTTTTTTTTTTTTTTTTTTGAGACAGTGTCTGGCTCTGTCACCCAGGTTGGAGTGCAGTGGTGAAATCTTGGGTCACTGCAACCTCTGTCTCCTGGGTTCATGCAATTCTCCTGCCTCAGTCTCTTGAGTAGCTGGGATTATAGGCATCTGCCAGCATACCCAGCTAATTTTGGGTTTTTTAGTAGAGACGGGGTTTCACCATGTTGGCCAGGCTGGTCTCGACCTCCTGACCTCAAGTGATCCTCCCACCTCCACCTCCCAAAGTGCTGGGATTACAGGCCGACCTTCATGTAGCTTTTGAAATGTATGTGGTATAAGGTTATACAATAATTCGTTTAAATTTTTAAATTTTCTTGTCTGTTACATCTTCTTTCTCTTTTCTAATGTTAATTTTGCCTTCTCACTATTTATCTTGGCCAGAGTAGCCAAGCTTTTTGTCTATTATTATTCTCAAATAATCCATTTTTAACTTTATTGAATAAATTTGCCTTAACATTTTTCTATTTCATTAACTCCTGTTTTCATATTTATCAATTTACTAGAACTTAACTGGTTTTTTCAAGCTTTTCCCCTGTTTTCATAATATGAAAAATTTCAGTCATACAATTTGAAGGAGCATAACTTAGATTTACATTTTCTCATTAACTAGATGAAATAAATGTGCTTTATCTCTGTAGATATATGTAAATATGTATTTTTTGTTGAACCATTTGAAACTAAGTTGCAGACCTCAGCTATTTCACTGTTAAATACTTAATCATGCATCCTTAAAAATGAGGACTTTTTGCTATATAACCATAATATGTTTATTATGCCTAAGAAAATTGACAATTCCATCATATCATTTGGAGAGTCCATTTAAGTATCCCAATTTGTCACAATTTATTTTTCTCAGAAGAGGATCCAATGGTTCATCCATTCTTCTTAGTTGTTAGGTCTCTTTAGTATGTCTTAATAAAGAACAGTCCTTCCATGTGTGCACACCCACGTGCAGGGGTGCCCACGTGGTTGTTTTGTGTTTAACCACACCTTTTTTTTCTACCACATTGACTTTTGAAAAAATTTTAATTTAATGTTAAGTTTCTGGATACATGTGCAGGATGTGCAGGTTTGTTACATAGGTAGACATGTGCCGTGGTGGTTTGCTGCAACACCTAGGTGTTAAGCGCAGCATACATTAGCTGTTTTTCCTGATGCAACCACATTGAGTTTTTAAGAAACCAGACATCATCCTGTGGAATATTGTACAGTGTGAATTTGATTATTTTCTTGTGGTGTGGTTAAGTCGTTCTTCTATCCTCTGAATCTACTATAATCTATAAGTCAGATATAAAATCTTAGTTATATTCAGATTAAGTTTTTTGGGCAGAATACTTTATCAGCGATATTGTATCCTTAATGTTGCATCCCATTAGAAGCCATGTAATGTTAAGTTGTCTCACACTTATTGATGCTTAGTTTGCTTTGTTAGTTAAAGTCACCACTTTCAAATCTCTGTATTGTAGGGCTGTGACATTCCCTTTACAGTTAGCAAGTAATTCATTAGGTGACTACTTGGGCATCATGCAAATGCATATTCCTCCCAATTCACTATCCGTTTGATTGTCTGTTGATCATCCTAGCCTGATTCAGTTTTTTCTCTTTTCTCTCTGGGTTGTAGAATGTTGATTTTTAAACTCTACTTTTCTTTTTCTTTTAGTGATATTCTTCTATAAAGAAGAGCTTTCCCTTGTCAGTGGGGAATGAACAATATTAAATTTTCCTGTGCTCATATTATCCCAAATTTGGCAGTTGTGGGAGTCCCTTTAGGCTGGCAACGGTGTCCTTCTGACAAAACCCTGTAATAGTATTTCCTACCTTTCTAGCTAAAGATGATGTCTCAGGATGGAATTAACCATTTCTCCAAGGGGCTTTGGTTTCTTTTATAGAAGAATTATATTTAGAAGCCAAGATCTGGGTGCTAAGTTATTTGCATCTAGGTCTTAATGACTTCTAGAGCAAGGAAATAAAGAAAGAAATGAATACTTGAATGATGGAATGACTGAATGGAAGAAATAATGGATTTATATTGATATTTTGAGTTTAATTTTAACATTATAATATTCTTTCTTAACTACTTTGATTTCATATTTGTAACTCCACACTCTGACAGTGAAAAATCTTGCTTCCTAAAAAATGGGAATATTTATTTGCTTTTCTGCACAACATACATAAAATGTGTATTTTATGTATAGATATAAAGTGTCACAACATCAGGGAAGCCACTGAGTAATGTTTAAGACATCTGGCAGTCTGTATTGTCCCTATATCTGGCTAAGAGTATGCATTCAAAGTAAAGGGTGGTTGTCTTCTCCATTTGGCATAAAATTGAGTTCACTTGTTTCCAATTTTTAGAATGCAGAGCTTTTTTTCCTTTTCAATGTAATTTTGTTTAAATTTTTATAACATTTGCATGGCTTAAACATGAAGATTGGCTGGGCACAGTGGTTCAAGCCTGTAATCCCACCACTTTGGGAGGCCAAGGCGGGTGGATCACTTGAGGTCAGGAGTTTGAGATCAGCCTGACCAACATGGTGAAACCCCATCTCTACTAAAAATACAAAAATTAGCCAGGAGTGGTGGCAGGTGCCTGTAATCACAGCTACTTGAGAGGCTGAGGCATGAGAATCACTTGAACCTGGGAAGTGGAGGTTGCAGTAAGCTGATACCGCGCCACTGTACTGCAGACTGGGAGACGGGGCGAGACTCAATATCAAAAAAAAAAAAAAGTGAAAATTATGCAAAGAGAAAGAGGTTTACTCAGAAGTTTCCCTTTTATCATTCTTTCTATACTGTTCAACCTCTTGCTGTCTTTGGAAAACATTTTTATTAGTTTCCGGCTTATCCTTCAATGTTTCTTTTTGTAAAAATAAATGTGTATATGTAGTTACATTATGTATATTATGTGATGTCTATATGTGTTCATTCTTATTTCTGTGTCTTCCTTACACTGTTCTTCACTTTGCTTTTTATCTGCAAATCTTAGAGATCATTCCAACAGTTTATTTTTTTACTCTTTTTTTGTGCTTGTGTATTACTTCATTGCTTGGACAAAGTAAATTTTAGTCAATGGTACTTTTCTGATCGTCATTTGTTTCCAGTCTTTTATTGTTAGATATGATCCCACGTCAAATAAACTTGTGCATATGTGTCACCAAGATTAATTCCTAGATGTGAGAT